TGTAGTTTTTAATATTTCATTTAAAATTGGAACCAAAGTGAGGAAAACAAACTGCTGGACTGAAAGGAGCGGGAATCACCATGGCAACCAGTGACTCAGCGTTTTTGAGAGCCAGTTCTAGCATTTTCTGCTAGCTTATTCTTTCGTCTAGTTTTTAGGTTTTCAGTAATGATATTTGTCTTTTGAAGACAACACGCTTCCACATTTAAAAAGTATTCAATGTTTGATAACATCTCAGATATTTCCTCTTTTTAAGCTTTTTTATTGGATGTGATTTCACACGAAGAATTTTCACGATGAAAAAAAGTTTTCGCTACACGAGTCGGGTAAACATCCCAACATGAACATTATTATCATTATTATTATAAGTTAAACAACATGAAGTTCATCAAGCGTTTCTGTTTCTCCTTTAGGTGCCGAATAAAAACCTTCACATTGATCATGATGATTTCCGTGAGTTCGAGCCTTTCGACGGAGAAACCGATCTCATTCCAAGATCGGCGCAACCTGGAGTTGGTATGATTCGTTTTCCAATGATTCATTGCTGCCAGAACGAGCTGAATCACTAAAAACAAAATGTCTGTGTCAGACGCACTGTTGGTGGTGGGCGTCGACATGCGGAAGGACGTCAATGCGGCGCACCACTACACCGGCGAGTACATGACCAACCTGCTGGTGGTGCGCCGCGGCCAGCAGTTCATCATCGACGTCTCCTTCAGCCGACCGGTGACGCCACAGGACGACTTCCAGCTGGAGTTCCTGATTGGTGAGTTTCAGATCTGATCTTTGCTCTGATTGGTTGGTTTCCTTGTGTACAAAGTATCTGCTAGCTTTGCCAGAAGAGTTACGGAGGTTTCATTGAGTCGTCGGTCATTGTCTTTGGCCTCGTCTTCTTTTCTTTGCTAGAGAACAGCAACATGTGTTTTGCTGCCTTAAGAACCGACTTCACTCTTTGGTTCAGTTAATCCAGCTTCAGGTTAAAAGTGTTCACATCCAACAGGAGGACAAAGAGACCAATGTGTTCACTGCAAGTCTTTTAGTACCCAGACTCTTATTTTGAAGAGACAACCATCAACATATAACTGCAATATTAGTAATGCAGGTCCAAGACCAGATGGTTTCATCCACAAGCTGACTGCCTGATAACCAGATTGCTAATCCCAGTTTAGCTGCTTTACAGGCCGCAACTGTTTTATAAAAAATCTCTGCACATGGAGAAATCTCACAGAGTTCATGCAAAAATGTCTTTTTTATTAAAAGTCCTTACAGCGTATATTCAGTGGCACAAACATTCATCCCTCCTTTCCCAAACGGAGGATCAGTTTACGATCTACTGTAAAATCAGAAACATTGAACACAGTGTCACATGGGAAAGTCACGTTGTATTGACTTTCTGACACTAAAAACATTAAGACTGTGGAGTGGAAGACGATATCAGCGTTACCAAACAACATTCTCCAGTACTCCGACATTAAAGACGAGTCATGTTGATTGAACTCAGTGCTAGAAGAATCGAGCCTGCTAGGCGAGGACGGTCCTATCATTTTGTTCAGAACGTTTCTTTTCCTGAGTCTCATGTGAATTGTATTTCTGTCCTCCAGGCACCGACCCGGCGGCCAACAAGGAGTCCCTGGTGGTGGTGAACTTCGGTAACCATTCTGGTGCGGCCTGGGCCGGTCAGATTGTTGAAGCTAGAGATACGGTCGTTTCCCTCGGTGTCACGGCGAGCTCCAAGGCCATCGTGGGCTTGTACCGGATGTACGTGGCTGTCGCCATGGGAAACGGGATGCAGCGGACCGAGAAGGACCCCAACACCAACTTTTACCTGCTGTTCAACCCTTGGAATCCAGGTACACCAAAATGATGAGCTTACTGTGGGAATTCCTGTTTCCAAAGGTTGAAAGCTTCGTCAACTTCAACATCTGATAGCAAACCTGAAGAAAATAGTTTATTTATTTTAATTTCTCTCTTCATTTTATATTTCCCACAATTATTTGAAGCAACTTCTAGTTTTCTGAGTAAAGTTACTAAACAGCAACATCTGCGTGGAGTTTGACTAGGCCACTGTGAGTTGGTTTCTGATCATGTTTGCAGATGATGATGTTTTCTACCCGGATGATGCCGGACGCTCTGAGTACGTTCTGAACTCAACTGGTCTGATTTATATGGGAACACCGGACCAAGTGACTGAGCGAGGCTGGGTTTACGGACAGGTAGTCCGCCGTATGAACCAGCAGAGCACAGATCCGCCCCAATCTGCCGTTAACGTTCGGAGTTTCTTGTTGCAGTTTGAGGAAGGCATTCTGGACGCCTGTATTTACATCATGGACGCCTGCCGGATGTCGATTCATAACCGTGGTGACGTTGTGAAAATGGTTCGCACTGCATCTGCTTTGGTGAGACCATTCAGTGTTTGATTCTTCATCAGGTTTTATTTACACCAACAACTTCATTCAGAATCCACAAAACAAGCATTAAATGTAGTTTTTTGTTGGTTTTCTGTCTCCACCTGTAAACTGACCTTTGACCTCTAGATCAACTCCCAGGACGACAACGGAGTGTTGATTGGGAACTGGAGCGATGACTTCTCCATGGGGACGCCGCCAACGACCTGGACAGGAAGCGCCAGCATCCTGCAGAAGTACCACACCTCAGGAGCGCCGGTGTCGTTTGCTCAGTGCTGGGTGTACGCCGGCGTCCTCAACACCTGTAAGACGCACTGTAAAAACCTGAACCAAATAAAACACTTTTATGGCCAGAATTTCATTTGTTGTTCCAGATTTCAGTCAAAATTAGTTTTAGAGCTGTAACATTGCCTAAATAAATAAATGTTATTATGGGTAATATTATCTGGTAATAGCTAAAATTTGAATAAAATTTTTATAGCTGCAAAGTTTGCTAAATGAGAAAAACAATCAAAAGCCTCTGATTAAGCAAAAGTTTTAGCTAAGTAGCATTTAGCTAAAGATAAAAGACTAACAGTCATGAGTTTAATAGCTGGAACGTTTGCTAAATGTAAAAACCTGACATTTAAAAAGTACTAACTAGATGTTTGCAAAAGCAAGAGGTGACAGGATTAATACATGAAACGTTAGCTGAACGGGTAAAAGAGTTGGAGTATTTCCAAAAAATAGAGTTTGTTGGTTAAGTGTAAAAGTGTCTCAAAGGATTTACTAAAATGTTAAAATGAGATTAGCAGCTTATGATGCTGCTGAAATTAGAAGATAGAATACAATATGGACAAAAACAGTTTATATTTCTTGTCTATTATCTGAGTTCTTATCTGGTGAATGTGTTAAAGTTTGAATATTTGATGCTAAACGGTTTGTCTGTCTGCAGTCCTGCGATGCCTTGGGATCCCATCAAGAGTCGTCACCAACTTCAACTCAGCCCACGACAACACGGGCAACCTGAAGACCGAACTCATCTTCAAGCCGGACGGCACGCCTGACAGACACAAGACCCAGGACTCTATCTGGTTGGTCCAAACGCTCCGCACGACACCATGGAACAAGCTTAACTTTTGTTTAGGGTTTTTAAACCTTTTGGGTTGTCAGCAACCGCCATGGCCGTCAATGACCATTGACCATGACCAACGACCAGTTTATGGTTATTGGCCATAAACTGTCATTTATGGCCAACGACAGTCACTGAGTTGGTTTCTGTGCAGGAACTACCACTGTTGGAACGAGGCGTTCATGAAGCGAGTCGATCTTCCACCAAAGTACTCCGGATGGCAGGTGGTGGATGCGACTCCGCAGGAGACCAAAGACGGTGAGGCAGAACAACAGAAACATCCCAAACCCACAGGAAGCACCGATTAACCCAACCGTGTCTCGCTGTGTTCCAGGATATTTCCGTTGCGGTCCAGCGCCTGTCATTGCCATCAGGGACGGTGAGCTGTGTCACCCCTTCGACTGTGGCTTCGTCTTCGCTGAGGTTAGACTGGAAGGAGATCAACATTAAACCTGAGTTATCAGATAAATCAGTCAAGTGATAGCTGACTGTCCTCCAGGTGAACAGTGACCTGATCCACATGAAGAGTGACAAGTATGGCAATATGACTCCATTCAAGGTGGACACGACTTATGTTGGAAAGCTCATTTACACCAAGTCACTGAGCGGTTGGGGACCTGAGGACATCACAGGGACCTATAAGCATCCAGAAGGTCATTTTAACCTGTCATTCACGGACCCAAATTTGGGTCCTCTCGTGACAGGGGTGTCAAACTCCAGTCCTCAAGGGCCGCTGTCCTGCAACTTTTAGATGTGCCTCCGCTGTCCTGCAACTTTTAGATGTGCCTCTGCTGCACCACACCTGAAAAGAATAATTAGGTCATTAGCAAGGCTCAGGAGAACCGATCTACACAGGGAGGAGGTAATTAAGCCATTTCATTCCACTGTTTTTTACCTGTGGCACATCTAAACACTGCAGGACAGCGGCCCTTGAGGACTGGAGTTTGACACCCCTGTCATTGTGAATGACAACCTGTGAATGACAGGTTAAACAGCTTTATATGTCATGCGGTCAAAGTTACCAGGATTAGCACAGGAAGGTGAATGGAAAAAATCTGAATCTACAGGAAGTCCGGCAGATCAGCAGACCATGGCTCTGGCTGAGCAGTACGGATGTTCAAGAGACAGATCCAACTTCCCTGCTTCCAAGCTGTCCATCCAGATTTCAGCTCAGGCGGTAAGGAAACCATCCGTCCATCCGTCCATCCATCCGTCCGTCCGTCCATCCATCCGTCCATCCATCCGTCCATCCGTCCATCCATCCGTCCGTCCGTCCATCCATCCATCCTGAGAGATAAGGCTTTGAGTTGTACGACATCACAGATACAACTTGCCAAGGGTAGTGCGACGTAATTACTATAATACGGGAAACTTAAGGGAGATACTGGAGCACGGCAGGAAAGAGAAGTAAAACATGGTAGTTTTTTGGCCAAAACAGGAGATTTGACAGGTATGAACTGGTTCCTGTCAGCATGAAGAACCAGTGGCTCTACTCTGAGTCCGTTCTGGATGGCTGAGCGTCTGTCTTTAAGGGAGAGTCCAGACACTCTCATTTCAGGTGCTTTTATCCATCACCTCGTTCCTTCAGTCTGTACCCAAATCTCATGACCTTAGATGAGGGTAGGAACATAAACTGACCGGTAAATCAAAAACTTCACCTTTTGACCACGAGAGACCCGGGCGTGTCAAGTCTACCAATGGTCTACATACTAGTGAGTTTGATGGGTTAGTTGAGTTGTCAACCCCGTTTCATCACCACCAGGCCATTATCAGCTCGGTGTTGCATACAAACCAGTTCAGTGTGAACGCTGTTTCCTGCCGAGGGGTTTTCTGTGTAGCACTCAGTATCTGAAGGCAGTCGTGTCCAGCAGACCTCAACAGACCAAAGTACAACAGAGGACCTTAACTCTATGCCTCTTCCCCATCTGTCCAGGGCTATGTGGGCGAGCCTCTGAGGGTTTCAGTGACTTTTTACAACCAAAGTGAGGCGATGAAATTGGTGAAAGTTCACATGGAGATCAGCCCCACCTACTACACCGGCGTGGTCGCATCAGATCCACTGAAAGTTGAGGACTTCAGGCTTCGTCTGGACGCCTTCCAGAGTGAGTGGCTTTGGCTTCAGATCTCTGGGATTAAAGAGGGATTCCCAGGACATTTTGGATATGTCTGTGTTTCTGTTGCAGGTAGCATTAAGATGTTTGAGCTTTCGCCTCAGGAGTACATCTCTTATCTGGGCTCTAACAGCAGCCTGGAGGTCACTGTGACCGGACAAACTGACGATGTGGAGGTGTCAGAGGTCAAGACCATCGCCCTGAAGCTTCCACCGCTGAACATAACAGTAAAACCCAGACTGAACATCCATGAAACCTTCAATAGTCTGAAGATTTCACACTGATTTGTTGATGTGTGTACCTGTACCCAGCTGAGTGGGCAGCCTCAGGTGAATCGTGACATATACGTCATGGTTTCCTTCACCAACACCATGGGCTTCCCCCTCACCGGTGCCAAGCTGGCCATGGAGGGAGCCGGACTGCTGGAGACTCAGGTCTACAACTACAGGTAAACCCGGTTCACCTGCCTCACCTGCAGCTTCCTCTGCTTTATACTTAAAACATGTTTTCTGTCAGGACGATTCCTTCTATGGGCCAAATATCCCGCAAGGTCGGGTTCAGACCGACGAAGCCGGGACTCCAGACTCTCCTGGTGGTGCTGGACTGCGACAACCTGCCCGATGTAAATACCACAACGGGTCGCTCAAAGTCAAACTTCAAGATTAACTTAAAAGCCAAATGAGGTTAAAAAGATTAGCCTGTAGAATGTTCTTTGCTACAACTGAGGTAAAAGTATTTAAAGATAAAATGTAGCAAATAAAATATTAGCCAAAATTTAAAACAACCAAAGATTATGGGGTTTTGCCAAACTATTAGCAATAAACTGTAGCGAAACTGAAAAAGTGACCTATTATGGATTTATTAGCTAAAATTATTTATTGTCATCATTAACTTAAAAAAGGAAAAATTAAGTAGATAAGAACTTACATTTTTATTAGAGTAAGCTGCAGCTGAAAGTTGATGCGCCGGCATTTGGTGAAATAGATTTAGCATCCCACACATTAGCTAAACGTTAGCTAAATGGTTAAAAATGTTCAGAATTTCTCAGTTTAGAAAAAAAATAAGTAGAAATGAAATATTAAACTTAAACTGTTTAGTTTTGTGTAGTTATAGGTTAAAACTACATTAATTTATCTCAAGATTTATCAGTTTACAGCAATAAATGTTAGCTAAGCATTAGCTAAAGTGGTTACTGCTTGCTAAGTCATTAGCATTAGTGTACTAAATGTGCAAAAGTCAAATAATAACAGCTTAAGATACTGTAGCTCAATATTAAAAAGACTTTTTTTTAAATTAGCTAAAATATTAGCTAAAAATTATAATTGTCAAATTAACCTAGCTACCAAAAACATAGCAAAGCTAAAGCGTTTTATAAATTAAAATTTGTTTTTATGAGGCTAAAATGTACAATGAATTTGGTAAATCCAACAATCTTTTATCAAAAGTCTAAAATATTTGCTACAACCTGAGGAAAATGTTGAGATGTATCTGATGAAGTTTTAACTACGAAAGGAAAATAAAACGTTTTTATTTCTGCTAAGTGTCTTGAGAAAAAACTTATCTGTACATTATAAACACCAACTGGAGATTTTACTTTAAATTTGACATTAAAACCTTAAACAACAGGTTGTTGTAACATTAGCATTTTGATACTAATAACTGTGTTTCCTTTTAGATGACGGCAATGGTGGAAGTCAAGGTCGTGCCGTGACCTTTGACCTTTCATCCAGTGAGAAAAAGCAACAAATTCTACAAGTTACATTCATCATGATAATTTTTCTGTCGTGAAATCATTTGAAATTGTTCTTAAAATCAACAAAATGCGTAAATCAAACTTCATATTGAGGATCAGTGTTTCCAGTATCAGGTAATCCATCAGCTATAATCGCTCTGTGAAGACACAAAAACATAAACCTGAAAGATTAATTTAGTAGTTAAATGAAAGAAGCTTCAGATGGAAAATTGTGTAAATTTGTTCTGTAATTTAATCTTTAGCTCATTTTAATGACATTTAAAATTAAAATAATTAAAATTCCCATTTTTGTCTTTAATTTCAGAGAAAATTTGACCAACGCAGCCAATTTCTGATTAGTTACTGATTTATTTTGGGCCTGTTTCAAACCGTTAGACACAATTTGTTCCTGTCTGTCTGGAAACTGAACCTGTGCATGAAGTTTTACGATCCTTGACCAAATCAAATGTGGTTTTATCCTTTTTTCTGTTTTCATAACAATAATGACACTGTGTACTAACAAATAAAGTATTTCAAAAGCACTGAATGTCACTGATCTTTAGCATTTATTGGATTTTGCTTAGAAACATTTTAAACGAGAGAATTAAGTTACTGCAGTGGTCTAGTCAAAGGGTCTGCAACAATCTTTAAAAGCTATACTAGCCTTCAGAACAGCTACATAAAACTTCTTTAGTGCAACAAATGTTACATGGCCTTAAAAAAACAACTTAAAAGTATTGATCTACTTCAGGATATTTGTTGAAACCCATTTTATTTCTGTTTTAGGATTTTAAATAAAGAAAAATATAAAACTTGCTCAAAAAGCAGGATGTTGAATATACAAAATGAAAATGGCAAGAAAAAACACAATTTACAATTTAATGACAAGGAAATAGATCTAAACCAACATCACTGGTATTTTAATTCATTCTATCGTGGAAAATCAGTTTATTACATCAAAACGACTAAACCAGTAGGTGACCTTTGACCCGTTTCTGCTGATTGTTTTTTAACTATGGAGGCGGATCAGGAAGCTGCAGTAAGGTCAGTCGGCCACTAGAGGGAGGCAGCGGTCTTCCCCTCCCAGTAACCTCCAGTCCGGTAAACTCCAGACTCATTTGTTGTTTGGTTTCTCCTGATCATCAGCAGCTTCTCATGTCTTTCCATCCGAGCAGCCATCTTGACTCCAGTTTGGACCTGCTGGTCCAGAACCGAAGTTTGATGTCAAACTCAAAACCACCGAAACATCCCGAAACAAGCCGAAACAAGCCGAAACATCCCGAAACAAGCCGAAACATCGGCGTTTTTCTCGAGTTTCTGTCTGTCTGCCTTACTGTGCGAGTTTTAGTCGGCGCCCCCCCCCCCCCCACCCCCTCCCCCCCCCCCCCCCCCACCCA